GAGGATCGCTTGAGCCCAAGAGTTTGAGACCAGCCTGGGCAATATAGTGAGACCCCATCTCTACAAAAAATAAAAAACTAGCCAGGCGTGATTGTGTGCGCCTGTAGTCCCATCTACTCAGAAGGCTGAGGCGGGAGGATTGCTTGAGCCCAGGAGGTCTAGACTACAGTGAGCCTTGATTGTGCCACTGTACTCCAGTCTGGGTGACAGAGCGAGACCCTGTCTCAAAAAAAAAAAGTATATAAAAATAGAAACATTCCATGCAGATAAGAGAATAATAATTTATGCCCCTCAAAATTACTTTAAAATGCACTTTGGAATTCCTTTAATACTGACTACCCTTACTATCCTTAAAATGATTCACTTTTCAGAAATTCAGTTTTTCACACAACTCTGTAAAAGCAGGAACCACTCTTTCGGAACTGAAATTGGGCCTGTTTCAGAATCCCCTCCTCTTGCGTTGTTGTCTCTGAGCAGCTTTTCTCTCCTTCCTTGCTCCACAGGCACCAAGCCCTTAGACACAATTGTGAGGGATACTTTTCGAGGCTTGTGTAAAACATCTACTCCTCAGACTTCTTTAATTTATATTATTTCATTTCATCCTTTTAGTTCTGAGTTAGGTAATGTCAGTGGTAGAAATTCCATTTTACAGTCCAGGAACAATCCAAAATATTTTACTTACAATCCCACAGTTAATGACAGGACAGACTTTACTGTGTGTCCAGAGACCTACCCATCCATCTGCTGCCATTAGTGTCTCTTTGGGTTGAGCGCAGGAGTCCACAGTGAATTTGTTTTGGACTCGAACTAAGGAGACAGAAGACCCTTAGTAATGCTAACACTGCCTCTCAGGGATACACCCAAGGAGCATTTCTGTTTCAGTGAACAGTCCGTAAATATGTAAGGAAGATCTGAACGCAGGTAGCCTCACAATTTGAGAAGTAACATCTATTTTCCATCTGAGCGAGAACCATCTAGATGTATTGTTAAAAATAAAAAAGTCTACCAGGCAAGGTGGCTCACGCCTGGAATCTGAGCACTTTGGGAAGCCACGGCTGGAGGATTGCTTAAAGCCAGGAGTTTGAGACCAGCCTGGGCAACAAAGTGAGAACCCTATCTCTACAAAAAATAAAAATAAATTAACCCTGTGCATGGGTATGTGCTTGTAATCTTAGCACTTTGGGGAGGCGAAGGCGAGAGATTGCTTTAGCCCGGGAGTCAGAGGCTGCAATGAGCCGTGATGTTGCCACTGCACTCCATGCTGGGTGACAGAGTGGGACACTGTCTCTAAAATAAATAATAAAAATTAAATAGCTGTAGAAATGGAAGTCAGTCCATGGTGATGTGTTAGAGAGGAAGGAGGAAGGAAGCTCAGACTAAGGCTTTTGTGACTGTGGATTTGGTGTCAGTTAAGAGTTCTCCAAAGTATCTGCCTCAGTGCTAGTTGACTTCATATTGTCTCTTGTAAATGTTGTTTAGGTCCGATTTGATCAATATGTAACAAATCCGCTCCCTCATGTCAAACATCTTCTAGAATGTATCTGCATTTTTAGCTCCTTTCCTAATTGAAGTGTTATTGATGACAACAAAGAGAAAGTACGTTTAGCAGTGATGTTCAGGCTAAAAGTAAAGCAGTGGTTCTCATTAACTAAGGTTAGGGAGAATGTGTGTATAGTTTGAAAAAGTTATCTGAGATTTTCTTCACTCCTACTAGTTGAAAAGTAATGCATTGAAATTGACTTTTTGCAGTTAAAATATGGTAGTGGCAAGTATGGATTCAGGTAATTAGGTGGGCTTCATCTCCTACACTAAGGGAAGGATCTTGGTGAAGTACACTAGAAGCACAGATGTTCCAAACCTCTTGGGGCTCTCATTTGAGTCCAGGCGGTGCTGTAGTTCAAACAGTATGAGTTTCCTACCTAATCAGGAAGGAAAACTTAAAAGCAAAACTTGAACGGCTTTTTAGTTGCTCTTATTCCCTCGTTAGCCCTTCATTGAATCAGCTCACCAGTTCTTTTCCTGAGATAGGTGTAGGATAAGAGAAAGAAAACTGTATTTGGAATCTGAAGACTTGGATTCAAGTTTTAACTCTGCCATTTACTAATGTAAAGTTGCTTAAATTTCTCAGTTGGCTTGGGGGATGGTATTTAGGCTTGAATGAAGTGAGTTAGTATCTTTGTTTTTTGTTTTTGTTTTTGTTTTTGTTTTTTTTTGAGATGGAGTCTCACTCTGTCTCCCAGGCTCCTGCCACCACACCCAGCTAATTTTTGTATTTTTAGTAGAGACGGGGTTTCACCATCTTGGCCAGGCTGGTCTCAAACTCCTGACCTCAATTGATCCACCTGCCATGGCCTCCCAAAGTGCTGGGATTCCAGGCCTGAGCCCTGCACCTGGTCTCTTCCATTCTGTTGATAGAGCCCAGTGTCCCTGGCCCTGACTCACCTTGCTGTATAGACAGGTTATCTTCAGTGAAATATTCTGAGCTTTTTATCTATAAATCAATGTTAAGCTAGTATTACCGATTAAGTGTAACTCATTTAAAGCAAAAATAGAGTGAACATTCTATGCAGAATTTGATGTTGGTCATTGGTAAAGTGGGAATGTACCCCTTTTCCACACTTGGCTTCCGTATGAAATAGATGGAACTGCCATAGCTTGGTTGGTGTTGTGTTTTGCAAGAGGATTAAACAGGGAGTTTTTCCTTTTGGGGCAGACTACCCAGGGATACTGGACTCCTTGCCCTGACCACTGGGATCCTGGGGTCAAGATTCTTCACTTCTCTTCCTGGCTGGCTACAGAGCCCTGAAGATATTGCTTCTAGGAGACCAGGGAAGATGACAAGGAGGTTTCGTTTTTCGATTATCTCTGCTTTCTTTGCATTTGAATTGAAATTTATTTCCTTCCCTTGTTTTGCTGAGAAATCTTTTGGTTTTGATGGAAGTAGATTTTCTTTTTTTTTTTTTTGAGATGGAGTCTCACTCTGTCGCCCAGGCTGGAGTGCAGTGGCCCGATCTCAGCTCACTGCAAGCTCCGCCTCCCGGGTTCACGCCATTCTCCTGCCCCAGCCTCCCGAGTAGCTGGGACTACAGGCACC